TGGGGGGGAGAGTGGGGAGAGGGTTGGTTGGCGGGGGCCGCGGGGGCACTGCTCCCAGTGAGGCCACTCCCTGCCCCTGTCCTGCCTCTAGCCCAGGCCTCCCGAAGGACCTCCTCAAAGCTTTCCTCCTCTCTACCCACCAAAGCAATGTTTCTAGATCAGACTCTGCCAGCTGTGCATCTACTCAGAGCTTGCCCTCTGGGTTCAGCCTCCTCAGGCCTTGCTGCCGGGGACAGTCTTCCTTGTTTGGGATTATTTCTGCCCAATATCTATTTTCTCCTTCTTCCTTGTAACAGCCCAACTGTATTCAGGGTGGCAATGTGCCCCTAAAAGGTGACTTTCCCCAGCCCTCCCATGATGCTCTGCTGGCCACTGACATAGAGCAGAAGCTGTTAAATAGGACTGTTTCTTAAAAAGGAGACAGACAGCTGTTGCCTGCCCCTTTCTGCTGCCTAAAATGTGTGTGATGGCTGGAACCACAGCAGCCATGTTGGGTCATGAGGTGCCTTTAACAATAGAAATCACATGCTCTGGGTGGCAGAGACAACAGCTCCCAGAGGCCATTGTGGACTGACCATGCTGTCCCAGGATGGCCTGCCCAGGGTTCCTTTTTGTGAGAGAATGAATCTATATGGCTTGAGTCCCTGGGGCCAGTGCTGTGACTTGCAGCTGATGTTGTCTCACTGATACTGCTTTCCTTCCTTAGGGAACCCTGGCCTGGGGGTCCGGCAGCCGCCGCCATGTCAGGGTATCAGGCAGCCTTTCCTGCCGCAGACACCCCTGTGCTAGGCTTCTCCATACAGCCTTCCATGCCCTGTCCCTTTGCAAATCAAGACCTGGATGTTTTCCTCTATGTGACTCAGCAGAGGGGTAAGGAGCCGGATGCCAGCCCTACGGTGTCTGCATGGTGGCAGTATGGCCATCCAGGACAGGCCTTTCTCAACTGGCTTTCCACCCCCTCCCATAACTGGCTCTCCTCATTTGGAGAGGTGGGGGGTGACAGTGGGCTGGGCCCTCTGCAGGGGGACTCAGACGCACTCGTGCAGGGCATGTCCAGGGGGTCCAGGTCGGCTCTGTAGTAGCCGTTGCGGCAGACACAGTTGATGGCCCCTTCGGAAGTGGTCCGGCTGTTGATGGGACAGTGGGTGCAGGCCTCGTCCCCTTGGTTGGCCTTGAAGGTTCCTGATGGACAACCTGGGAGAGAAGACAGGGACAGTCACCAGGGAAGCTGGATTCAGAGAGGCCATGGGCCATGTGGCCTCACGGAGGGGCCATTCATCCCCACAGAAGGGCTGCGTAGCCTCATGGAGGGGCCACTCGGTTCCGTGGAGGGACCACAGGGCCTCTTGTGGAAGAGCCATTCGGCCCTGCTTTAGGCCCACACAGCTTCGCGGAGGGGCCCCGTGGCCGCGTGGAGGCGCCAGCCTTGCCAACGGGCCACGCGGCGTTGCAAGAGACCTACAGCATCACTCCTGAAAACCCCCTCTCCCGAAGCGGCTGGGGTCTCCAGCCCAGTGCGGCAGTTCCAGCTCCGGTCCTGCTACCTGACTCCTCATCCCTGAGGCTGTCTGTGGGTTCAGTCAGGGCTCCCAGCCGTCACCCCTCACTCATTCATCCCAGTTGGCTGCGTTGACCCCTGGGGTCACTCCTGACCTTGCCAGGAGGCATCTGAAGAGGTCTGGGGCAGCGTGCATGGTCCGTCTTGCTTTCGAATGTCCGGCCCTGGCTCTTGTCACTGGGTCCCTGGCTTCCAGACAGTTGGGATAATGATATTAGAGCAGGCAAGTCCTAGGGCCACGCAGGGTATGCAGAGAGGCCCGGCAGGAAAAGGACACGGCCCTTGGGGTCAGACAGATCTGGCTGGAGCATCTGCTGTGTGGCCCAGGCAAGTGGCTTAACTACTCTGAGACTCAGTTTCCCCATGTGTGGACTTACGATTCCAAGGCCCGCTGTGATATTTCACGAACGTGTGTAAGGCACAGGGCATGAGGCCTTGCAGAGTAGAGGTGACCAACGAAGACAGCAGCTGTTAGATGTGGTGTTTGATCCATTTACTAAAACGAAGGGGGCTGCAGTACCAGGACCGGCCGAAGGAGGGCAGTGCTTGCACTCAGCCTGCATTCGGCGATCTGGGTTCCTCCTTCCAGAGGCAGTGACCTCCATCCCTGCGCTGGGGTCCAGGCCTTGCAGCTCTGAGCATGGGGTTGCAACCACCCTGTGTGCGCATGTCTTTGAATCCACCCTCCCCTCCTCCTGGCCCTGGGCTGGGGATCAGGAAGCTGAGTGTCTCAGCCCTGCCCCTTCCAGGCTCCGCTGACTGGGGCTCACCACCCCAGCTCTGCTGTGATGCTTCGGAGGAACTGGGCAAGGGACGAGAGGGTGGGCGAAAAAATGAAATCCAGCTAAGCCCTCCACAGGCCGGGGGCCCTCCCCTGGCGTACATTTCATGCCTGGGTACTGTGTGTTCTTTGGCAAGTGACTCAACCTTTCTGAGCTTCGGTTTCCTTGTATGTAAACAACATAAATTTCCCTAATTCATTTTTCCAGCCCTAGTCCTCAAGGCTCTACTTCCCAGTCCAAGTCTCAGCCAACCACCCTCCCCCAACCCCTCAACCAGCTCTGGCTTCAGGGAACCCGCCTTTCTCGGTGCCTGGAACCTCGCTTACATCCAGAGTGCTTTACTCCTCTGCCACAACTATTCATCTAGGGATCTCCTGGCCATACTCAGCGCCCCCAGGGTCAGAGCCATGTCTGATTCACAGCTGCGTGCCTGTGTCCAGCTCAGGACCTGGAACCCAGCAGGTGCTCCGTGAATGCTTCTGGAAGCTGTCTGATGAAGTGGCAAGAGTGTGGACCTTGTGGATCACGTGAGAAGGAAGGCAGTGAACACAGCGGTTGGCACGAAGGCTGTGGCAAACCCCAGATACACCTATGTGAGCGGTGCGACCCTGCAATCCATTTACACGGTTTCCTTATCTGTAAGATGGGGCAACAGTATCTACCCCTAGGTTTACTGTGAGCTCTGCATTGGATAGCTTATGAAACATGCTTAGCAGATGTCTGGCTCAAAAGCAATCTGCTGAGTGACCTTGGACAAGTTGCTCGACCTCTCTGAGCTGGTTTCCTCACTGGTAAGAGAGATTCTACCACATCAAGCGGCCATGAGGATTGCAAGCAATGACCACAGAACCTGGCACAGGCTGGGGAGGGGACGCGGCCATGATCCCAGGGCTCACTGGATGAAGCAGGGTCTCAGGGAATAAGCCAAGGATACGTCTCCCAGGGACACTAGCAGATGGCAGGGTCCCTGAAGCCCGACGCTTCCTGTCTCTAGAGGGGAGCTTCCGGAAGGTGGGCCAGCCAAAACGGCAACCACACCAATCAACAGCTGCCTTGGTTGGTGCCACCCAGGCCAGGCCCCCGGGGGAAACTCAGCCCAACTGAGAGGGGCACAGGACTTAGATACAACCAATAGGCCAACGGGTGCCTCTGGGCCTCCGTTTAAAGATGGGGAAACCAGGGCCCCAGAGACACACTGTACAAGCGGCTAGCATTTACTCAGTACGTACTAAGTGCCAGTGGGGCCAGGACTCTACTCACATTAACTCCTGGAAGCCTCACCCACCCTAGGACAGAGGTAACTGACGCTAGCACAGCCGTTTTTGGATGTGGGAGAGCAAGGAGAGGTAGAGGAATTTTCCATGCATGTGGGGGCACAGTGGCAGAGCTGGAATTCGATCCCAGGCGGTTCGGCTCCGAGGTCACTTCTGTAACCATCACACTGGACTGCCTTGAAGTGAATGACTTTGCATTGACAGCCCATAGGCACTGGGCGGGGACTGGCAGCTCCAGCCTTGGGGCACTCATCCAGAGCGATCTCCATGCTGCCACACTGGCTCTGGGGCCCCAGAGTCCTCCCGCCAGCTCTTGCCATCCTCTCAGGCGCCGGCCCTGCCCTGCTGATTGGATGGAGAGGCAGCCCCACCAGCCTGGCACTGCCCTGGCTCCTGGGGCAGCTGAGACATGCAGGCTGCAGCCCTGAGCTGGTTGAGCCACAGACCTCTCTGAGCCTCAGTTTCCTCCTCTGTAGAACGGGACACAGGGCTCCGGTGAGGGTCTGGAGCCATCCTCATAGATGGTGTTGGTCCCAGGATTGGGATCCTCCTGGCCTCCTCTTTGGAGAGTGCCAGCCCGGCTCAGCATGCCTCTCCATCTGCTGGGCATTCCCTGGGCACGGCTGGCAGTGGCTGCTCCTGCTCCCCTCAGTGCTGTGCCAGCCCCTCCATCTGGACCTCCTTCCTGGGGTCCTCTCTCCGTCGCGGTGTCCTGGCCTCTCCTCCGACTCCCCAGGCCGCCCGTCGTCAGCTCTGCCACCCAGCCAAGCTCCCACCAGGCACTGCGTCGTCCCTGTCTTGGTGATAAGTTCGTGAAACCTGCCCGTCTCTGTCCTGGGAGGTGGTTTCCTGACCCCTCCCGCTCCTCTCCCCCCCACCCCCCGCAGTCAATCAATTACCAGGTCTTCCCTCCTCAGCAGTGTCTCCTCTGCAGCCCCGCCCGCAGGCAGCTAGAAAGCTCTTTCCACCCGCTCCTCAGCCTCCAGCACCATCTGGTCTCCTCCCGTCCGCCCTCCAGAGCCAGCTTTCAAGAGGACGGACACTTCCAGCCACTTAAAAACCCACAGTGGCACCTGCGCCGGAATATTATTCGGCCATAAAAAAGAAGGAAGCACTGACAGGCTGCAGCACGGGGAAGCTTGAGCACACTGTGCTCTGTGCAGCCTCAAAAGCATGGCTCCATTTACACGACGGATGCCCAGCATGGGCACATCCGAAGAGACAGAAAGTCGATGTGTGGCTGCCAAGGTGGGTCAGGGAGAATGGGAGTGACGGCTGATGGGTAACCTGGCTTCTTTCGGGGTGATGAAATGTTCTGAAATGGACCGTGGTGATGCCCGCACCGTTCCGTGAACGCACCCAAGCCCATTGATTGGCACGGTTCAAATAGGTGAATTGTGTGGAGTGTGGATTACATCTCCAAAAGCTGCTATGAAAAAACATCCACGCCGGCTCACCCCACACCTGCCAGTCTCTCCCACCTCAGTGCCCAGTATCCACCCCTGGTGCTTGGCACTCCCCTGCCCTCAGCGATGCACAGTGCCTGCCCCAGCCCCCCCCACACCTCTGACCCTGGTCCTTCTGCCCTCCACCATCAGGGAAACTCCTGCACCCTTTAAGATATCACCTCTTCTGGCAGTGGCTTATACCTGTAACCCAGCACTTTGGGAGGCCGAGGCGAGAAGATCGCTTGAACCTGGGACTTCAAGACCATCCTGGGCAACCTAGGGAGACCTCGGCTCTAAAAACAATACAAAAAATTAGCCAGGCATGGTGGTAGCTGAAGTCCCAGAGACTCCAGAGGCTGCGGCGGAAGGATCACCTGGTTCCAGAAGGTCGAGGCTGTGGTAGCTGCGATCGTGCCACTGCCCTCCAGTCCGGGTGACTCAGAAACAAATAAGCAAAAAAGCCTTCGGTTTTCCTAGGAAGCCTTCCCTGACCTCTGGCAAGGTTTCGGTGCCTGTCTTAATTACTTACCACCTACCTGTCCACCTGGCTGGACCGGGAACTCCCAGGACAATGCTGGGAACTCCCAGGACAATGCTGGATAAGAGCTTCCAGGCCATCCCCGTAGCTGACAGTCAAGAGGAGGCCCAGAGAGGAGCACAGGCAGATTGGATCCCAACTCCCTGCGCACCTGTGAGGTGTTTGAGGTTTGGGGCGGCCGCCCACCCACAGGGCCCCAGGGCCCACTGCTGTCGCTTCTGGGGCTGGGAAGGCACCATCCTGCCAGCATCCGAGCACTACGGGCAGACGCGGAAATTAGGAGACCTGAAGACACAGGCGCTGGCAGCTGCACCCCGACAGGTATGGGACCGGGGGAGGTCTGCTCCTTTCTGAGACTCAGTCTCCTCATCTGGAAAGGGGGCTGCTGATGCCCGCATGGCATCATGACAGCGGGAGCCTCTGGATGGGTCTCCGCTCCACCTTGGCCTCCCTGCCCATCCTCCACAGTGACCTGTTTAAAATGAGCCAGGCCTGCGGCACCCTGCCTGAACCCATCTCTTGGCTCCCACTGCTCTTAGAATAAACTCACACACTAGCCCAGCCACAAGGCCTGTGGGGATGGCCGTGATGGTC